ATTAGAAATTTTGATTGTAATTTAAAAATGTGCCAGTATTCATGGAAATATCTCTTGTGCTTACAACATACCAAAGAGTTTTTGCAAGAATGGAATGAACAAGTAGATTCAACCCTCTGGAGTCAGGGGAGGAAAAATTGGCACCCTCAGAAGCCCGAGGCTTTGACAGAGAGAACAACTGCACTGGCTGGAGGCATAGGAGCAGCATCAAGGGATGCCAAAGGATCTAGTAACATCACAAACACCACGACAGCTGTTTGAAGCAAGACTACTCCGCTTTCAATAAGGAAATAGAAGGCAGCCCATCAATCGAGATGAGTGGTTAAATTGCAAAAGGAGAGTTCTTCTGGATTTACATGGGGTCACACACAGGCATCAATCACAGCTAGAAGCTATTTTGCTTTTTTCCACCCAGGAACCAAGAACTCTACTTTCTTTAACTAAGAGCTTGTTTATTTGCTGGCATTTCCAGGAATATACCCCGAAGGCACAAATGCTTCTCCCTGGAGGGTAATCATATGAAAATGCCTTTTTAACCAACAAGGACTATGTAAGCATAGTGGCACACATACATCTATGCACACATGTATATCATAGCTGTTTCTAGGAGATTTGTGGATTAGAAGATGAGTGCCTGGATTTTCATGATATCTTGTGCAAAATTCATCAGTGCGATTTTCATGTCCAATTTCTTGGCCAAAATCAGCCTAAGGTACCCAGTTACATAATCAGGCAGGATTCAGGCCTGATAAGGGACAGAAACAGCATTGGTTGCATCTCTGGAGGGAATGGGATGGGGGTTGTGCAACCATCCTTGCTCTGCTTGATCTCTGAGTAGCCTTCACCATAATAACCTTCTGAGCTGCTCTGGGGATTGGGGTCGGCAGCTTTGTATTGTGCTGGTTCGTCTCCTTCTCCAGGATCAATACCAGTCAGTAGGGACTGGGGAGAAGAGATCCGGCCCTTGGCTCCTACTATATGGGATGCCGCAGTGTTTGGTGCTTTCTCCTTACCGATTCAATCTCTATATGAAGCTGCTGGGTGAGCTCATCTATTGCCATGGGCTGGAAGTGTCATCAATATGCTGATTATACCCATTATACATTTCTGCCTCTGGTGAATTAAGTGATGCTTGTCAAGGTAATTATGATTTAGTAGCTGACCGGCAGAAGTGATATATAGAGAACGCATGAGGGTAGTATCCCTTTAAGAGACTGTGTCTGAGAAGAATAGCAGTTGGAACCTGCTTGCTCACTTCAACCGTTTGAATATAACTGACTATCTTGTATTCTGTATGCTCCCTGATTATTGTTGTTTCATATTGTATATTAAACCACAGTTCTTTTAACAAACCACTGTCAGATGCTTATGCTTCTGCGTTATCACAAGAAGAAAATAAGAAAAAGGCTGCGATAATTTATAGTTTTAAACAACAATGCTTTGATGTCTTATTGTGGCGCCTGGAGGCTGTGAGGGTCAGGATGGGGAACAACAGGCTTCAACTGAATGTCTGTCAATTTTTCACAAATCACTCCAGACTTGGCTATGTCATCAGGCTTGGGGGCCTCAAGGGAACTGTAGGTTGTTGAGGTGGCTCCATTATTGTTAATATCTGTTGTTCTCTCCTAGCCTTTTTAAAATTGTACAGGTAAGAATTGTACAGGAAGAATTTGTGCTGTTCCTATCAGATAAAATTGCTCGGATTCGGACAGACCTAGACTCCGATTGGGCAGGGCCTTCTGAGATGACTGGGGCAGGTCTTAGCCCAATTTTATGGGATGAATTTGAGTCTGTGACCGCTGAGGATGTTGACAGCGGTGGGAGCGATGAGCGCCTCCACTTGTTTATTGGACCCGTGTCCTTCCTGGTTGGTCTCGGCCGCCAAGGAGGTGACACGAGGCTGGCTCCAGGTGTTGATCAACGCTTCGTTGAGGGAGGGGTCTTTCCCACTATCCTTGAAGGAAGCGGTTGTGAGGCCCCTTCTCAAGAAGCCTACCCTGGACCCGGCTGACTTAAATAATTTCCGTCCAGTCTCCAATCTCCCCTTTTTGGGGAAGGTTGTAGAGAGAGTGGTGGTGCTCCAGCTCCGACGGTCTCTGGATGAAGCGGATTACCTAGAGCCTTTTCAATCTGGCTTCAGGCCCGGCTTCAGCACAGAAACTGCTTTGGTCGTGCTGATGGATGATCACTGGCGGGCCCGAGACGGGTTATTCCTCTGTCTTGGTGCTACTTGACCTCTCAGCGGCTTTTGATACCATCGATCATGGTATCCTTTTGCGACGACTCGAAGGGGTGGGAGTGGGAGGCACCGTTTTACGGTGGTTCTCCTACCTCTCTGGCCGGTCGCAATCGGTACTGGTGGGGGGGCAGAGGTCAACCCCGAGGCCCCTTGAATGCGGTGTGCCACAGGGGTCGGTCCTCTCCCCCCTCCTATTTAACATTTACATGAAGCCGCTGGGTGAGATCATCAGACAGCACGGGGTGAGGTTTCATCAGTATGCTGATGATACCCAGCTATATATCTCCTCCCCGAGCTCTCTCAGTGAAGCGGCTGATGTGATGGGCCGTTGCCTTGAAGCCGTGAGGGTCTGGATGGGGGTTAACAGACTCAGGCTCAATCCTGACAAGACCGAGTGGCTTTGGATGTTGCCTCCCAAAGATCATATTAACTGTCCAGTATTGACTCTAGCAGGGGAAAATATACCCCCTTCGGAGCGGGTTCGCAACCTGGGTGTCCTCCTTGATCCACAGCTGAAATTGGAACATCATTTAACGGCTGTGGCTGGGAGGACCTTTGCACAAGTTCGTCTGTTGCACCAGTTGCGACCCTACCTGGACCGGGAGGCTCTCCTTACAGTCACTCATGCCCTTGTCACCTCACGTCTGGACTACTGCAACACACTCTACATGGGGCTACCCTTGAAAAATATTCGGAGACTACAGTTGGTCCAGAATGCAGCCGCACGAGTGATAGTGGGTGCTCCTCGGTACACCCACGTTACACCTACTCTCCGTGAGCTGCACTGGTTGCCTATTGGTCTCCGGGTCCAATTCAAGGTGTTGGTTATTACCTTTAAAGCTCTATATGGCTCAGGGCCAGGTTATTTGCGAGACCGCCTACTACCTCATAGTTCCCTTTGTCCGGTTAGATCCCACAGGCTGGGCCTCCTTCAGGTCCCGTCGGCCAAGCAATGCCATTTGGTGGGGCTGTGGGGGAGGGCTTTCTCTGTGATGGCGCCCACGTCTTGGAACCAGCTCCCCCCAGAGATTAGGACCGCTCCCACCCTGTTGGTTTTCCGCAAGCTTCTTAAGACCTGGCTTTTCCGGCAGGCCTGGGGTTTATAAAATTTGACCCCTGGATGACTGTTATTGTATTGTTCGTTTTGTCATGTTATATGGTGTTTTTATTGTTAGCCACCCTGAGTCCTGCAGGAGTGGGGCGGTTTATAAATTTTAAAAATAAAATAAATAAATAAGTAATCCTTGATTTATGAATAGTCCTTGAAGTTACAATTACTGCAGCCTCCCCGCAGTCAAGTGATCACATTTCAAGTACTTGGCAATTGTCTTATATTTAAACTGATTGCAACATTCCATGGTCACATTATCACATTTTGTGACTTTTTGTTGTTTCGTGGACAGTGGATAAGCTGGATTCGGACTTAAAACCACGTTTCACTTAATGACCACATGATTCATTTAACAACACTAGTGACTCATTTACTAACAGTTGTAAAACAGATGTAAAATCAGGTCCAGTCACATGATTTATGACCCAACAAGTTACAATTAAAATTCGGGGCTGAAATGTGGTTATAAGTCGAGGACTACTTGTAATAATTTTTTTAAACTATTGATTGGTTTTTACATTATTAACCTTTTGTAGTTAATTCCACCCAGAGTCACACTTTAATATAAAGATGATGAATGAATAAATGAATGAATATAAATAAAATACAAACCAACATTATTTTCCATCCATTCAAGATTATTTTTTCTTAACATTAAAAGTGACTGCCTAGAAAGGCTGAGAGGATTAAAAGAAACCATTTTAATTGTTAAAAATGACTATCTGATCATTCAAAGAACATTATATATGTCATAATCAGTAATTATGGTGGTAAACTAGTAAACAGATGATATCATTTCCTCCTTTCTCTATTTCTGAAGCCTGTGTTTATCATATCAAAAACATTTCTTTATTCTCTTATATTCTTTTATATACTGTATTTCCAGCATATTTTTTCCTCTTATATAAGCACATATATGCATACATACAATATTTGGTGTACCTGTTTTATTTACACTTGTATGTATGCATATATGTGCTTATATAAGAGGAAAAAATACGCCTTCAATCTTTTTTGAAAACGTGCCAAATATCAAGCCCAGGAATGAGATAGTATGATTATTTTGCTTGTTGCTGGAGACACAACTCCATTCATGTGCCACTGAACAGCTGCTGTCCAAGGAACAGAGAGTATGGAGGCTGAAGAGGCATACCAAACTACAAATGGTCTTTGTCACTCTCTGGGCACCATCCCAATGTTAGTGCCACAAATACCAAGGCTATGAAAAAAGTACTTTATGATTACAAAAGGTTGCCTGCCATTCATGCAAGGAATAAAATACGGAAATGGGAAAGATTCTACTGTGGGTAGCAAAACCATGGCTAATGGTACCATGTATGAAGAAGTCTGTCTGTCTACATCACAAACTCTCTTGTTCATGATCCCAAAGGAGCCAGTTGCAGTTTCCTATTTCTCCTATCCAACATGCCACAAAAATACTGCAGATCATATGTCTCACAAAATATGTATCCTAAAGAAAGAAACAGTAGTCTCCTATTTAGATTTTTTTTCCTAGAATTAGAATTAGAATAACTGAGTTGGAAGGGTTCTTATAGGTCATCCAGTCCAACCCCACACCCAAGCAGAAGTCCCTATGCCCTATACCATCTCTGATAGATGGCAGTCCAGTCTAAAAGCAGATTATCTTACCTGTTGTGTTTGCTGCCGCTGAATGGCTCGCACTTTGGGAACTGGGCTCTCTCGGGAGGAGGAAGACTGCTGCCGGGATTGATTTCCCTCCTGAAGAGGTTCCATTGCCATCGTGGCAGATGCTACAGACATGCTGCCTGTGCTTCGAAGAGAGGCACTGTGGGGAAGAGAGTGGGGTGACCTGATCATTGCACTGGGTCCTGCTTGGTCTGCTTTGTGGATTTGGACCTGCACAGTGTAACTCTGACGAGCTGGCAAAGCTTGTTTGTCCAGCATGGTGGCCTGCCCAGAAAAATCTTCATTCTGAGTGCTGCGTTTGGCATAATCCTCCATGCTGCTATTGCTGGGTACACTAAGTTTAAGGTCTTCACTATTCTGGCTTCGGGAACTGGTGACACTCAGGTTATCCAGGCTTGATTCCATAGACACTTTAGGCATTGGCTGAGGAGAATTATTGAGATGATAAACTGGATTCTGGAAAAAAAGAGCCTGAAGAATGCCTGGCTGGTTTAATGCTGAGTGAAGAGGTCTTCTGATTTGAGGGGCGGTCTGTGGTGTTCTGTGGAGCTGCTTGATACTTGCCACCTGGACGACTGAAATCTGACTGCCAGATAAACGTACTGGGGCCTCGTGCATCATGGATCCAGATTCACACTGTGTGACATTGGGATCCTGGAGATTCATCAGCGATATGCTTCGGACATTGGGCAGATTGGTCTCGTCCCCTTGATCAGAATAAGTCACACTCCGGGATGACGTCTGCTGCATCAAGAGCAATTTGCCTTTGAAATACTCTTCATTTGCTGGAGGGGCAGACTTCGACTTGAGCTCACTGAGAAAGAGTCCAAACAATCATGGTCATAACATTATATCTGCTTTTTTGCATGCACATACACATATTTCTGCTTAAACAATTTCTTGGGTTCCACATAAATCTCCATATTATGAGTCACCCAAGTGGAATAGCCTAGGTGAGCAGTGGTGTCATTTATATATGGGAATGGAACCAAAAGTCATCTTGGTTCCCATTCAGAAGCAATGATTGTTGAAAGTGGTAAGTTGGTGGTTGCTTAAGTGAGCAACATTGTTCTGAAAATGAACATTTAATGCAATGCCTAATCTATGCATTTGTTTAGTATTCTAATCTTAATAATTTTAGCCTGCATCAGTCTTTCTGGTTGCTGCAGATGAATCATAAAAACTATATTCTACTGCTCTTATTTTTGTTTTGTATTTCCATTAACGGCTTGTATTTCCATTATCTTTTTTGTACAGATAAAAAGTATAAAGCACATAAAAGATAAAACCGTAATTATACAAAAGAAGTTCTGTCTGCCCAACATGCCTGCATTACTTAATCGTAGGCCAGTGGGGGGAAGAGAGAGGATGGTTCCACACAAGCAGCGGGTAAGCATCTGTGCACGCAGCTCCATTTGTGTGAGCAGAGGGCACGCACACTCACTATTTGTGCAAATGGCGCACACACAAACACATTTGGTCACTGTTCATATAAGTGGGGATGTGCGTGTGCCTGCTTCCGAATGACTCAAGGCCCATAGGTGGCCCAGGGGTTGAGGACTCCTGGCATAAAGTAAGATAAAACCCCAAATTGGTCATAATGTGTCTTTTTTATGGTGAACAGGGAGGCCTTATTTGTCATAACAATAAATATTCATAACCTGCATTAACAAAAATCTAGAGAAAATGAGGCAGCATCTTTGATGTGAAATAAGAACTCCAATACAGTAAGCACAATAGTATGAAGTCTGATCCATGAAAGAAAATATAATCAGCCTACTTTTGTTGTTAAGGATTATTGTGATGAAGTAGCAAGAATATTCTTATCTATTATACCACGTTAAATACTTTTAATACAAGAAAATAAATTCTTTACTTGTCAGCAGAGCACCATCTCTGCATACAAGCTAACTGCTTCCTAGTGCTCCTCTTATTACATTATCAGTACAATATTTGATTAAACAGTGTCTGTTTAATTAATTAAACTGTGACTAAAACTTATTGGCAGTTTGCAGGAATTCTTAAATTGTGGCAGTGGAATTTTGGACTGTTCCTCTTCAGACTGTAGGTCATAGGTAGCATATTTTGAATGTTATTCCTCCTTACACACACACACAGGCACACTCTCTCTTATACGGTTTCTGAGTTTAAAAGATAGGCTGTAGTTCACATTGATATGAGTACATGTTTGTACATACAGTAGAAAAACTCATCCTATTATTGCCAAAGGATCTCAGGTAGCAAATCTGGATAAAGCTTGTGACTTGGAGAAGCACATGTAAGATTAAAAATACTGGGCTGAATAAAGCAATTATCCAGTTAGGAGAATAAAGCACTATCATAACTAAACTACTGCTTTCAGCAAAGCCCCACTCTTGTAATTAGGGCATTACTCTAAATTTTACTTCTTATTTTTCCTATCAAGCTGAACAAAATTATGCATCTCTCTTTCTTCCACATAATGTGTTCATAATGTGAACAATAGCCAGACAAGGCATACCTGTCAGATGGGTCTTCAAATATTTTTTGCAGCCCAGAAGAGAGACTGACATTGGGGCTTGAATTATGATCTGGATAACGTCTTAGCTGTTGCTGGATGGGCAGAGAGTGTGTTGTATCCCTTGCGATGTCAGCGAGAATGTCTGGCAAAGGACCCAATTTTTCCACTGTGGCCTGTAGGAAGGAATTTTCATCCTGATTCATCAATAAGCAATGTAGCATTCATTTCAGGGGTGTTTTTTTTAATTAAACAATGTTGAATGTGGATGGATGAGTGGAAGTTGTAAGAAAACAAGATGGGCATTTATATGTAGGAGTGAAAAAAACAATGCATTGTTATGGAGCAGCAGGACCACGATGACCCAATGGATGGTGGTGATGAAAGAGGGTGCAGCAGACATTGAGGAAAGAAAAGGAAATAGAAATTAAAAATTGAGCCTCCAAAATAAAAAGTTAATGCTCATAAACCTAATGCATTTCTATCCTGCAAAGCAAACTGCAATCAAAGCCCAGAGTAGAGGGCACAGGGTGAGATGGAGTAATACTAAAATCACTACTAAATTAAAGTGTAATCCAGAAAACTAAAAAGGGATTTTTGTTGGAAGCAAATGTTCGTCTGTGGGGGAAAGATTGTGGTCAATTAAATGCATGCTGCTATAGTCTTGAGACCAGCAATTTGGCAAGAGTACTGAAAAAAACCACAAGAAAGTGCAAAGACATATACAAAGATATTTAAATCATATTTTGACTTATAACTACTAACAAGAATGAACATTAATCATATAATTTGTTTATAATCACAACTACTGGACAAAAAGTACTCCATAACTTCCTGGATTGGATCTCAAGTGATCCCTCCATAGATGATAGTAACTCGTTGCCTGGTCACCACTGATGATTCTCAAGAAAGAAAGCAGCACCATATAGGAATATCTGTTATGTATGTATTTATACGGTTGACTCTTGGTGACTGCCTTGACTGCATTCTGCAATTTTCTTAGTAAGATTTCAGAAGTGATTTGCCACTGCCTCCTTCCTAGGAATGAGAGAATGTGTTTGGCCCAAGGTCATCCAGTTGGCTTTGTGTCTAAGGCAGGACTAGACTAGACTAGATTAGGACTAGAACTCACTAGGACTAGAACTCACTATCTCCCAGTTTCTAGTCTGGCTAGAAACTACATCAAACTGGCTCTCTCCAAATTATTAGAGTATGGCTTTTATTTTAGGAGAAGATAATCAAACATAATTTTCTTCAAAACAAAATTGTTCTAAAGCAATATAAATGATGTATATGATGGGGAAAGTGCTTTCATTTGCTTTAGAATTTAGGATTTTTTAAAAATGCAGCTTAACCCAAGCCCAAAGTGATGAAAGTTCAGCGCCAATTAAATTTCACTATTGTCTTTCTACTGATTCCCAATGCTAGGTCTACACTCTTTTAAAGAAATAGATGATGTTATAACCCCTTACTTTAAAAAAAAAGTTAAAGTTAACTTTAATCATTACCCAGGAACAGTTTGTGGAAAAGTTGTGCCTAGCCAGCCCTTCCCAGCCTTCAAACTAATTTACCTTGTCCAGTTCCCAGACAACTTCCCACAGCAATGAATGCAAGACAGCAAACTCCTTTCCCAGATCTATGTATCCTCCAAATCCTGGCTTATTAGAAATGGTGTCCTCATTAGAAATTTCTGCCAAGAAGGATTTCATATTTGCCCATTCATGCTCTAGAAAGGCATTCATAAAGGTAATATATTCTTCTTTGTTCCCAAATCTGAGTTGGGGAGAGAGGAAAACAGAGGGAGGGGAGAAAGAAGGTCAGCAGTTGGGCAGAAAGTTTCCAAAGGAAATGGTAATCCTACAATGTTGCTTCAAATATTCCCAGACACAAAACAATATTTCTGTCACCGAGTGGCGATTTCTACATGTAATACCTAGTTAAATAATGTTGCAGATAGTCATTACAGAGAGACAAAGTTAGTGTGAGAGAGCAGTCGTTACACCTGTCATGTATTCCCCTTCTTTGCCCCCCCCCTCAAATATCCTTAGAGGTTTCTTGGCTTCACAAAGTTCATTTGTTGAGAATTAGAACTGAAAATGAAAAGCCGCACATGAGTCCATCTGTTAATAATACCATTATCTTAATTATCTTCTTTGGCCCCAATCAGGAATAGTAGCAAGTGAAATCCAAATTATACATAACGTCAAATCACAGTCTTGAAATTAGAAACTGCATCAGCTGGAGTCAGTAAAGGTAGTAGACAACAGTAAGGACAAAGGAATGAATTTAGTATGTCATCTTTTACTGCTGGCTTGAGGAAAATATTTGTTTATAAATCTTTGGAGTAAAAAGATCTTTCCTCAGTACCCATGGAGGCTGTATTAGTCGCATCTAGATGGAGGGTCATACTGCAGTTACTTCTGCAATATCACTAACACACATTAGCAAATAAATATATATGCGGTTTGCTTCTAGTTGGAGAAAGTGTTGTAGGATTATGTAGGATTATGAATGCCACAAGTGAAAGCTAACCAGTATCTGGGGCTAATAAGGACAAGTTGCTTCCTCTTCCCTAAACACTGGCCTGGGATGCAACACATCTAGCATTCTTCCAGAGAAAATAGTTGGGCTGATGGGATCCAAGCCTTCTATGCTCCACTATCCTACATTCTATTATTTAAGTGGGAACTTCTGTTTATAATGTTTTTATCACTTTTTGATCTGAAACAGAGAAATGTAACTTTCAGATGTACATTTCTGAACATGGAATTTCAGTACATATACAAGTCTCCATATACTACGAACAGAGATAAGGCAAAAAAAGCTGTATGTTACAGCTGTTGCCAAATCATTCCTATGAAATAACACACGTCACAATGATAGAATAACAGCAAATCCCTTAATGATCATTGCAAATAATGAAAAATCACTTGCCTTGTAAAATTTGCTAAGTTTTGGATAACCTTTGCAATTAGTGTGAGTGCACGAGAGGTACTATCATCAGGGTATTCCTGCATGAGGTTGAAGAGACTTGGAGACATTATGGCTGGGCAAAGGAATCGGAGGAAAAGTGAGGCACTGATCAGGCGTTCGCTGATCTCCTGCCTTCCCCGTTTCAGGCACTGCTGCTTCCATGATGCAAATACCTCCTTCAGCTCCCGAGGAAAGACACTGAAAAAATAACAATATTTGGCAAATTCTCATTGGGATAAACAAGTGAAATTGCTTCTCTTTGCTATGAAATTCCATATTATACTTATCAACACACTGATAAGGGTATTTCTTGTCTACACTTGAAATAAAACCTAGGGTAGAATTATCAATAAATACTAATAACCACTTTCACAAGCTTGGGAACTAATGCTTCCTCTGACACGAATTTCATTCCTAATAAGCTGATACACTGTGGATGGGACTGGGCTATTGGGCTAGGATCTAGGTCCAACTCCAGTTCATCAGTGTTGTCACTGTCTAATGGCAAATGTTTCATAATTGTAGCCTAGTTTTTGCTACTCAGACCCTTATAATTTCTACAGAAATTCTACAGAATGAGAAGCATTAAGTATTCTAGATGCATCTTCCGATTTGCCTTAGATTCTGTATTTTGTTCTACAAGGAGTCAGAACAGGAAAAATATGAATAGATGCATGTTGCATAGGTGGCACTCAGAGCCCTCTCTGTGGGCACTCACGCTGTCTATTGCATAGTCTCATTTCCTCTTGAGTATACAGCATTGTGTAAAAAATGACGTAAGAAACACATACCACTCCTTGTCTAATTCCTATTAAGTGGCTTTGAAGAAGCACAGCTGCTGACTGAGTTTGCCTATGGAATCCTTCACTTTTCCCAATTAAAATATTACATTCCTAGTGAAAGGGAAGATGGAAGGTAGCATCATGACTTTTAATTGCCTTCAGATAGGCAATGCGGTGTCTGGGGATACCTCCCTTGAGGCCTTTGAGACTCATTGAACCACCAGCCTTTCATTTTGCTAAATATCTCTTCACACTTAAATTTTTTTTTCCAAAACTGAATTGGTTTTTCTAGCATTGTTTCAGCAAGTATTTCCTGTAAATGACAAGAAATAATCCTTCATCCACTCACCAGTAGGTATTGACAATTTTGCAGAAGGCTAGCTCACAACACATTTTGAGATTTTCCTGGTGATCAGCTAATTCACTAGGTGGACTTTTGCTGGGATCCACTTCACAGTTCTCATCCGACTCATATAATGCCTTGATAAATTCACCTAACAATTGGGTAATAAGAAGGCACAAGAAAAAATTATTTGAAAGGTTTCTAGATAATTTTGATAGAACAAACAATTATATGGCCTATTCTGTCAACAACAATTTATGTCAGGACATTAATATTCCATAAATTTCCATAAACAATTTTTCCCCTCTTTGATTCGAAGTGAAGTCAAATAACTCTGTTTGAATGTAGGATAGAACACATAATAATAATAATAATAATAATAATAATAATAATAATAATAATAATAACCCCCAGTGAGGCACTACCTTGACGTGGTTGTGGGGCTTGTGTACTCTGAGGAAGATGAGAGCTATGCCAGAGGTTCAACCATACTGGACAGGTCTCATCAGAGGAGTCAGACAAAGAGTGTCTCTCCCATAAAAAATATGGTGAGACGTAAATTTCAGAATGCCATACCGGCTCGGACGTCGCCCGGGTTAACAAGGTCCGCACTAGATATTGGAGTTCCTGGATATCTGGTGAAAAATGGGTTACAGGACTCAGGACTGTTGGCTGAGCAACCAGGGCCAGCAGCTGCAGAACTACTGGAAGAAAAGGTGTTTACCCGTCGCAGATACACAGTGATGGAAAACAAAGAAATAATGATCTGTTACTACAGATCAAGTCCAACAAGAAGAGGATATCTAAAACGAATGCACCAGTTCTGGAAAGAACAACATCCAGAATCAGAAATAACAGAACAGAGACTAGCAGATCAACGCCGATTTATAACACGAAATAAAGTATTCACAGAAACAGAATTGGACGAACTGCAAAGGTTTACCCAGGGCAAAGAAATCAAAGCCTTACCAGAAGTAATTCAGAATGTAGAGGCAAACCAGGGGGAGTTGGCAGTGAAGGAATCCAGCAGAGATATACAACTGTTCTCATTTGGAAACCAGGCACCTCTTCCTCAGGAAGAACAAAACCCTCTAACTAAAGAAATAAAAGAATTGAAACAAAGAATAACTGAGCATCTAGAACAGCACAAAAACAACAGAATAAGGCTGCCTGCATTGAAGCTTGTTCCAAAGAAACAGCTAGCACAAGCATTAAAAGATGCAAATACTGCAATATCAAGTATAAGCACCAATTCACTGCAAGAAACAAACCAACTAATGTACAGCACAGCTGCAGTTATAACAGAATACCTGGGATGCAAAATCAACAAAAAGAAAAACAAACAAACAGTGCACCACAAAAATGGAAGGTTAGACTAGAAAATAAGATCAGCAAGTTAAGATCACATGCAAGCAAGCTAGAACAGATGAAAGAAAAGAAGCTGAAGAACAAGAAGACCAAAGAATACCTAATCAAGAAATACCACTTAGAAACAAGGAAGATCAAGGAAGCACTGGAAATAATAAAGCAACAAATAACAGCTATAGCCAGGAAAATCAGTAGATATGAAGCTCGAATTGCAAACTATAGGCAGAACCTCCAATTTCAATCCAATCAGAAACGTTTCTACCAATCCATCAATGGAGAAACTGCAAGGAATCAGTCAGTACCTGACAAGGAAGAAACAGTGCAGTTCTGGAAGCAGATATGGGATAACCCAAAGAAATACAACAAGGATGCGGCTTGGTTAAAAGAGGTGGATGCAAATAAAACAGAAGTTGAAATGAAAGAACTAGTAATAACAACAAAAATGGTAGAAAAAAGAGCAAAGAAAATCAAAAATTGGTCAGCACCAGGTGAAGATGAACTGCATGGGTTTTGGTTGAAACATCTAACTGTTATACACCCACTCATTGCCAAGCAATTCAACAATATACTACAAGGAGGAGAAATTGAAAAGTGGCTAACAACTGGGAAAACCTACCTAATAATGAAAAATCCAGCAAAAGGGGCAACACCAGGTAACTACAGGCCAATTACCTGCTTACCAACAACATTCAAATTACTAACTGGTGTGGTAGCTGATGCAGTACAACAGCATCTAGTTGAAAACAATCTCTTTCCACCTGAGCAGAAAGGAAACCGCCCCAATAGCAGAGGAACAAAAGATCAACTCCTAATAGACAAAATGATCTTGGAAAACTGCAAGAGAAGGAAGACCAACCTGAATGTGGCATGGATTGACTACAAAAAGGCATTTGACTCTCTGCCACATGATTGGATAATAAAGTGCCTAGAAATAACAGGAGTCAGTAGAAACATCAGAAAATTTGTGCAAAGATCGATGGCACAATGGAAGACACAGTTGCAGATCAATGGTGAGAGGCTGGGAGAGGTTAATATCAAGAGAGGAATATTTCAAGGAGATTCATTATCACCATTACTATTGTTATTGCACTGTTTCCTCTGTCAACAATACTGAATAACTCAGGACATGGTATCAAACATCAAAAACATCTGCTAGACTATCCCACCTCCTTTACATGGATGATCTGAAGCTGTATGGAAAAACATCATCTGAAATAGAATCGCTGCTCAACACTGTCCGTATATATAGCCAAGATATTGTAATGGAGTTTGGCTTGGACAAATGTGCCACACTTACTATCAAACAAGGAAAAATAGTGAAAACTGAAGGAATCAAGATGCCCCACGAAAATAACATTAAGAGTCTGGACGAGGAAGAATACTACAAATACTTGGGTATCCTTCAAGCTGACAACACCAAGCACACTGAAGTCAAGAAAAAGATTAGAGGTGAATACATCAAGAGAGTGAAGAAGATCTTAAAATCCAAACTCAATGGAGGAAATACCATAAAGGCAATCAACACCTGGGCAATCCCAGTCATTAGGTACACAGCTGGAATAGTGGACTGGACTCAAGCAGAACTAAAAGCAATGGATAGGCAGACCAGAAAAATAATGACAATGAATCACGCTGTAAGGACCCACCCCACTTTGCATCTTAAGAAGACAGAACTCTTGGAATAGTTCTTCCAACAGGAATCCTTTATTAAGAGAAAATGGTTGCAGGCATGCTAGACAGGACTTGGGGTTCAATCTCTCCCATTCAAGGTTTTAAGGGGTTCCCCAGTAGTCCCACCCAATCAACCCCCCTTCCAGTGATAGTTTCAAGTATCACAATTCCATCCCCTTTCTTCTTCCGTCTGGATGGAGACTTCAGATAACTACATGAAAGGCAATTACTCTTCTTTGATATGTTAAAGCTTAGAGGCCACAATAAACACACATTCAGTCCTTTGAAGTGTGCTGAAGGAAGTGAGGGCCATAAAGCCCCTTTGCTCTCCCCCTTTTCTCCCTCTTATGGCAGAATCCAGAGAAGGCAGAATTGGGAGTTTCTATGTTTGATAATTAAAGATGAAATATAATTGGATTCTGACATCCGGCCCCTCTTAACAATAAGAGAGATCCACCTGAAAGAAAACACAAGTAAAAAATTTAGTTAGGCTTGTTAGGATACTCTGTGTGAAACTTCTTCAATAGCTTCGGGGCTCTGACGTGACGTTTATGGACCCACTCATTTTGTGAGGCAGGGAGGTGTTTCCAGGCAACTAGGTACTGAGTTGTTCCACGATATCTCCTAGAGTCAAGGATCTCTTTTATTTCGAAGTGTTGTTCCCCCTCCACCATGATTGGAGGTGGTGGGGGGGGGATTTTTGGCCGTAGAGGTGACTGATGCTCTCTTTTCAGCAAGCTGCAATGAAAAATTGGGTGTATTTGCCTGAGGTTTTTGGGTAATTCTAATTCTACTGTTACTGGATTTATGATCCTTTTAATTGGAAAAGGTCCTATATATTTTGGTCCAAGTTTTTTACAGGGCTGTAGGGACTTTAGGTATTTTGTAGATAAGTACACCATTTCTCCTATAATGAATGGTGTAGGCTCAACCCTTTTTTTATCGGCTTGTGCTTTGTATGCCCGCCTAGCTTCATCTAGTGATTTTCTGACTATTGGCCAGGTGTTTTGTAGGCTTTCCATCCATTCTTTCAGTGAAGGGATCGTTGGTTCTTTTGGGGTCAACTCTGGCATAGGGTTGAAACTTTGGCCGTTGGCTATTTGAAAAGGAGTGTAGCCTGTGCTGGAGTGGACTGCATTATTGTAGGCAACTTCTGCAAAAGGAAGTAAGTCCGTCCAATCACTCTGTTGGAAATTTAAAAAACATCTCAAATATTGCTCAAGTACCGACTGGCAGCGTTCCGCTTGTCCATCTGTCTGAGGGTGATGGCTAGATGTCAGTCCCTGAGTGGTCCCTAAGAGGGATAAAAATTCCTTCCAAAATGTAGACGTAAATTGCACTCCCCTATCAGAGATGATGCGTTGGGGTGCCCCGTGCAATCTGTAAATGTGCTGGATAAAAAGTTTTGCTAAGGCCTTTGCAGTGGGAATTTTTTGGCAAGGGATAAAGTGCACCTGTTTGGAAAATAGGTCCGTGACTGTCCAGATAACAGTATTCCCATTGCTTTCAGGCAATTCCACTATAAAATCCATGGCTATTTCCCTCCAGGGGGCTGAGGGACTTGCCACTGGTTGTAACAGCCCTGGCGATTTCCCTTGCAACCTCTTTGCTGATGCACAGGTTGGGCAGCTGGCAACATAACTTTCTATGTCCTTTTTTATTGATGGCCACCAAAATTGCCGTTTAATTAAGTGTAAAGTTTTTACAAATCCAAAATGCCCTGCTGATTTTGTGTCATGGCAAAGTTGCATGAAAGTTAGTCTTTGAGTTGTTGGTATATATAACTTTTCCCCTACCCAAGGCAATCCGTCTCTCATTGTGCACACATGTTTGTTTTTCTGGAACCAATCATCTGTTTCCAAACTTTTTCTGAATTCAATCCCAGTTTGGCTGTCCAGTTGTGGTTTTATTTTGGCTTGGGTTCTTGTGGTTACTGGCGCTGCCAGTTGTGATTCTGCCATTATTGGTCTAGAGTCTGTGGTTCGTGCGCTGTTATATTGGGGCATGCGAGATAGTGCATCTGCCAGGAAGTTCTTTCTTCCTGGTAAATGTTTGAGCTTAAATTGGAATTGGTGAAAATGCTGGGACCAGCGGGCTTGTTTGGGATTGAGT